TACTTCTTAAAGCTTATTAAACTGTTTGTAAAGCACCTTGACTTATTGTGATAATGACCTTTTATTATTTGGTTAAGTGCTTCATCAGGGTACCAGCATGCTAAAGCCTCTACAGATACAGGGAAAAAAATGGTTCCTACCTCAGAGCATTTGCAATCAAACACATTACACACATATACAGAATTGTGGTACTGAGCTTAGATGAACAGCTTACAGAGACACCCCACCATTTAGAAATTGCTGGCGATGCTTTTCTTTCTTACAGGAAGGACTGAGTAGCTTTAGTAGAGTGAATTAAGCACTCTTGAAATACCTCGGCAGTATTTTCACTTTCTGCCCTTAATTCTATCTGTGAATGCTCTGGAGGGCCAATTTTATGTCAATATCCTAAACCATGGTTGAAATCGGAACAGAATTACATGTCCCATGTAGGGGTTTAGCCTATAGAATAGTACAGGTGTAAATGAGCAAGTGTTGGATTAGATATTTACTCTTTATCTAGGAAGGTGCCTAGTGAACCAAAAAAGACATTTTTTTCTTAACCAAGGAGAATTCATCTGAGAATTAAAGCTTGTTATGACACAGCACCTATTGAACTATCAATAGGCTGTAACCTGGGACATGGGGCATGGTAGCATCCATCCAGTACACCTTTGGACTTGGTCAAACAAGAAGAACGTCATTTTGCTTTTCTGAAATGTATGTAAGGTTTTTTTAAATCAGTGCTGCTGTTTGGGTCTCTTTAGCATTTGAAAATCTTACAGTTGGAGAATCTGCCACCTGGTGGTGAACTGTTTCTCCATACATACTGTGGATAAAACAGTTTATAATTTCAATATAAGCACAGTCTATGACTTCAGTAACACCAGTAGGCAGCTGGCAGGAGATGATCAGTTTGTTTATGGACCTGCTGTCAGTCCCAAGTGCAGAGATCCCTGTCAGCTTGAGAGACCTTGCCCAGCATCTTAGCTGGGGCAGTATGCAGCTTGTAACATCTCCATTCAAACCAAAATGCATCATCATTGGTTGCAGTGTAATGTTTTCAAGCATAAATGTGCCTGTTTTCTCCCAGCTCGAACTAGCAGCTTGGTTTTAGATTAGTAATTGTTTCTAAAGTTGAGAAAAATAAGAGCATCCTAATTATTTTTATTTTCCTGCTCTTCTGCTTACACACAAATTAAAGCTGGCAGGTTCAGTGCCAACCTTACTCATATTATAATATATATATATCTATCTCTATGTAATATGATGATAAATCCTATATCATGATATATATATATGCACACACCTGCACACACAATATTTTCATTATATGTGTCTGATATTTTCATTTCCAGGCTGCAAACCATTTGGAATTGGAGCTCTGGGTAGACAAGTAGGCAGCAGCCAAGTTCCATTCTCAGACTAGAGGAGCATTTTTTGTGTAACTCATGTAATTCCAACTGGTAAACTGACTCCAGGTACTGTCTTCTATTTTACAGTAATAACAGAAAGGGTATCTAGTTCTTTTTAGCATTAATCCTCTGGTATCCACAGGTTATTAACTTGCAAAATGTGGTGCCTGGTCTATTATCACTTAACTGAAGTACTTCTTCGTTTATTGATGTACTTTTCTTCTACAAATAAACAGTGCCAATATGTATGTTTGATCATTAAATATCTCTTGTGCCTTGGAAACTTACAGCCACAGGGAAGGAAAATGTGATGACAACGGGGAGGTACGAGTTTGTTTTTGTAATTGTGGAGAGACGGACTTGGTGTTCAGGACTGGAGATACGGACTCTGAATAAACCCAACTGAGGAATGGCGCTGACAGATTTGCATTATAAAGATAGGAAATGGTGTTCGAAATACTGCGGTGGGATGAGAAATCCCACTTTCAAAGGAATGGCTGGTCCTGCTGCAAGAGATGTTGGGCATCAAAGCTGGAAGAAATTATTTCAATGGGCTTCTGTGATAAGCAGTGGGTTTTAATGGGTTTTGGTGATTTAGTGGTTGTAGGGAGTTTAAAAAAAAAGCCTTAACATTGCTGCCTCATGAGTGTCTTCTCCCCAGCCCTCACCAGCTTTTCACAAGCACACTCCCAGCAGTGTTGGCCCTGGAGCTTCTCCTCTCCCTGCATTGAAACCCGTTATTGTCCTGCTCTTATGCTTACAGCTCTGGCTGTGGCATACACGCCACAAGCTAGCCCAGGCAGATTCTGTTCCCTACGTATTTCTTCTGGAAGTTTTCCATCAATAAAGGAAGAGGCCGGAAGTTTGCCCACATACCCTTACCTACGTGCTCAGGGCAGGGCCTTTCGCCCAGTGTCCCCTGTCCCTGGAGATGAGAGACGCTACAGGTCTTGGCTTCCCTCTCCCCTGTCTTCAGGGAATGCCCCTTCTATAAACCCAACCCCCGATTCCACCTTCAGTTTTGTGCCGTGCTGTGAGACCAACATCGATGGGACATACAATGTGATGCTCCAATGACACTTCAGTAAAGCTATTTTCAGGTGTTGGTGAGAGTGGGCTTTCTTGGGCTCTCTGCCTCTTTGTGCCTATGCCATTAGCTCTACCTTGGATTTAACACCTCGTAATCCT